TGAGCATTTCTTCATATGTTTGTTGGCTGCCCTGATCTCTTCCTTAGTGAAGTGTCTGTTCATACCCTGTGCCCACTTTTTAATTGGGTTATTTGCCTTTTTCTTGTAGAGGTGTTGCAGTTTTGTGTATATTCTGGAAATGAGTCCCTTGTCTGATATGTCATTGCAAAAGACTTTTTTCCCATTCTGTGGGGTCCCTTTTTACTCTTCTGGTGAAGTCTTTTGATGTACATAAGTTTTTAATTTTTAGTATGTCCCACTCATCTGTTTTATCTATTTTTGTTTGTTTGGTTTTCAAAATGGAGACTGTTCAGTTTTGATTGATTTCTTGATTCACCTTTGATACTTTATATTTTTCAAAGAATTCTTCCATTTCATTTGAATTGCTGACTTCATTGGCATAGAGTTATTCATAATAATTTATCCACGTAGAGTTTTTTAGTATTGCCTTATCACCTTTCAGTATCCATGGAATCAGTAAAAATACCCCTTTTTCATTTCTGTTATTGTAATTTGTGACTTCTTTTTGCTTTAGTCATGTAATGATTCATGAGTTTTATAATCTTTTCAAAGAACTCACTGGAGAGTTTATAGATTTCCTCTCTTATATTTTTAACTTCAAGTTTGTTTCTTTTTTCTCTTACTTTTACTAACTCTTTCTTCCTTGTAGGGATTAATTCGCTCTTCTTTGTCTTTTTTCTTATGGTAGAAGCATACATTACTGATTGTAGATATTTTTTCTTTTCTAATATAAGGACTTAACATTATGCATTTTCTTTAAAACACTGATTTAGCTTTAACCTACAAATTTGGATATACTGTAGTTTCACTTTGCATTACTTGAAAATACTTTACAATTTCCCTTGACACTTCTCTTTGGCCCATGGGTTACTTAGAAAAAGTGTAGTGTTGAGTTTCTAAGTGTAGTGTTGAATTTCTAAGTGTCTAGGTTATCTTTCTGTTATCGATCCCTAGTTTGATTCTAATTTGATCTGAGAACATATTTTGCATGATTTTTACGTTTTTTAATTTGTTAAGTTTTATTTTACAACAAAATATGATCTATTTTGTAGAATGTCCTATTTTCACTTGAGAAGAACATGTATTCTTCTGTTGTTGGGTGACTTGATCCATAAATGTCAGTTAGGTTAAGTTATTAAATAGTGTTGTATATAACATCTACATGTTATTTTTAAGAACCACAGGTGATTCCATGCACTTTGAAGGCTGAGAATCACTTACAGAAATCTGTTACTATTTGGTATTAAATTATAATGGAGGCTTGATTTTGGATTATTGTTGTTAAATACCATCAAATTGATTCCAACTCACAGTAACCCTGCATAGAGCTTCCTAGGAGCAGCTAGTGTTAGTAGCTTGCTGTTAGTAGTCCAGTGCTTATTCTACAATGCCATGCTAGGATTCTTCATGAGCTTTTGTTAAAAATGGTCATTGTCAAACCCTAGACTTAGGGACATTACTAAGCAAAGGATGTAGGTGGTGTATCAGTTGCTTACTGAACTACCACTATCCTGATATAAGTTAATATTCTAAAGCCTCTGAGAAGTTTGCAGTAAATGTATTTATTTAGCTATTTAGTAGTTCCCTTTTCCCTAACACAAAATGAGTAACACTAATTACTGGATAGCGTATTAAAGAAGATTAAATGATATAACTTATGTAAAATACTTATTAATGACAGGTACATAGTATATTGTTAATAAGTCTTTTACTATGACTTATGATCATTGAAGTTCTTTTCTTTATTTTTTTTTGCTATTGTTACCTCAAAAAAAATTGAACTTTGAATGTTAGATGTGAAGGGAAAAATAATCCTGAATATACAGAAGGCTGAATAGTCACAGAGAGAAACAACTTGCTTCATCAGTTCCTTTACTTTAGTTGATTGGTTGCACTTTTATTGTTGTGTGCTGCATTGCCTTTAAAGGACTTCTTTCTCCCACTTTGTCAACTTAAACCTACCTCCCTAGAATAAGTGGCACTGGTGTTCCTGGTCACAGTTAGGTATTTACAAGTGAACTGCAAAAATAAGGAGGCTGTGCGGTACCATGGAAGGGCCACCAAGTATGAGCAACAGCACGCCATGACCAAGGGAGTGCCTTTAACTTAGAGTTCAAAACCCCCTATGTCCATCTAATCTCCCTGGTTCCTTTGATGACTCTGTGGGAACTATATTGACACTCTGCTTTATTTTTCAAACAGGTGGGCTCTGCATTGCCCAGTCCGTGAGAATCCCCCAAGAGCGCAAAGACAGGACCATTGACTTTGATAGAATTATCAAACAGCTCCTGGACACCCCCAACTCCAGGGCCGTCGTGATTTTTGCCAACGATGAGGATATCAAGTAAGGATGCCTGGTGAAATTCATTAACATGCATGTGGCTTCTGTGGGAGACAGAAAGATTAGGCTGCTAGAAGACAAAGAGAAACAGGTAGCACTGGATCAAAACTGTAATTCTGTAATGGCCAATTCTTTGCCTGTTTTCTTCCCTAACACACCTCGTTAAGGCAAACCATGGAACCAGCAGCTTGTTGCTGTCATATATTTGTCCTTGATTAGCAAAATTGAAGTGTTCAATTATTTGTAAAAACAAAGAAACAGCAAGGCCATTTAAAGTTTCCTTTATTAAAGACATCTTGAAATGTAGCAGATTTTTATCCGAAGAACAGATTCTCTTAACATAAAGGGAAAATGTCACAAAATGTAAACCAACAACGTGTTATAATTCATGATATATTGCTGCTGCCTTAACTCAGTAAGTCCAAGACCAATGGAAGCATGCCTATACATTCTCCAACCCCCTTTCCCTTTCTTTTTCCTTTTTCTAACCTTGCTACACTTTGGACTCAAAATCAGATTGTAATCTTGACTCCACCTTTTCCCACAATCATTTCAGTCTTTGCCAAGCCATGGAGAGCTAACTTTTGTAAATTTCTCTAGAACACAGATATTCCCATCCTCTTATAATAAAACATAATTACTACACCAAATGAAAAAGTAAAAAAAAAAAAAATTGTAAAAACAAAAACCAAAAAGCCCCATCCTTGCTTTCCCCCAGCTAATGAGTTCTCCTCTTCAGATGCAATGTCTTTTAGTTGTTTTTTCAAATATTCTTCTAGAGACATTCTGTGTATGTGTCAAAGGGATGTTCACCAGGCTTTTTCACAAATGATAGCATACTGTGCAGAAACAGTACACACTTGCTTGCCTTGACAATAACATTTAATCCTGGAGATCACTGAATTACAGTACCTATATATCGGTTCAGTCTTTTAGTAGCAGTGTCTGATTCCATTTCATAAAAGCACTACAATTTATATAACCGTTCCTTATTGATTGACGATTTAAGTTTAACTACAGCCTTTGTAATTGTAAGAATTGTTGTTAGGTGCCGTGCACAGTGACCCTATGTACAACAGAAAACAACACTGCTGAATCTTGTGTCATTCTCACAATTGTTACTATATTTGAGCTCATTATTTCTGCCACTGTGGTGTCATTGCATCTTATTGAGAAACAAACACTCTCTCTCTGTTTCTTTTCTTTCTCTTTTGATGGCACTTAGCAACAACAACAACATATATGTATGAGATTTTGAATAGCCTCGTATGCTTGTGAAAGTTAGACTATGTTGAAGAATTGTTACATTACAGTTGTGTTGTAGAAGAATATGCAAAGTACCGTGGACTGCAATAAACACATCTCTGTTGGAAGAAGTATAGCCGGAATGCTCCTTTAAATTCAGGATGGCGAGGCTTCATCTCTCATGTTTCATATATAATTTTAGAAGGTATCAGACCCTGGTTGTTGTTGTTGTTAGGTGCCTTTGAGTTACTACTGACTCATAGTGACTCTATGCACAACAGAATGAAACACTGCCCAGTTCTGGATTAATCTCAAAATCTTTGCCACACTTGAGCCCATTGATGCTGCCACTTTGACAATCCCTCTCGCTGGAGGTCTTCCTCTTTTTCTCTGAACCTCCACCTTACCAAACATTATATCCTTCTCCAGCGACTGGTCCATCCTGACAATATGTCTGAAGTATGAGAGACGAAGTTTAGCCTTGAAAGAGTACTGTGGCTGCACTTCTTCCAACACAGATCTGTTGGTTCTTTTGGCAGCCCATGGCACTTTCAGTATTCTCCTCCAACACCATAACTCAAAAGCATCAATTCTTCTATGGTCTTGCTTTTTCAGTGTCCAGCTTTTGCATACATATTGCAGGTTGTTAATTAGTCTTCCTCCATTCCTGATGCTATGGTTTTCTTCATGTAATTCAGCTTCTTGGATCATTTGCTCTGCATATAGGTTGAATGAGTATGGTGAAAGAATACAACCCTGTCAAACACCTTTCTTAGTTTTAAACCATTCAATGTTCCCATATTCAAGAAGGACATAATTCTTGGTAAAGTGAAGAGTCGGCAAAAAAGGAAAGAACCCTCCCAGTGAGATGGATTAACACAGTGGCAGCAGTAGTTGTCTACAGTGTAGCCACAATCGTGAGGTTGGTGCAGGACAAGGCAGTGTATCGTTGTGTTGTGGATAGGGTCACTATGAGTTAGAACTGACTTAAGGGAACCTAACACAACAACAACATTTGCATGTATGTATATTGTTGGAAACAAAGAGAAAGGATCAGTAGTTGGACAATATGACCTGGGTGATAGAAATGTTGTTGGAGATTGCATGATAGCGTTGTGTAAAATCAATGATTTGTTCATTTCAAATACCTTTTTTAAACAGCATAAGAGATGACTATACACATGGACCTCACCAAACAGAATACACAGTAATCAAATTGACTACATCTGTGGGAAAAGATGATGAAAAAGCTCCATATCATCAGTGAAAACAAGGCCAGGGACAGACTGTGGAAAAGACCATCAACTGATCATATGCAAATTCAGACTGAAACTGAAGAAAATGAACATAAGTCCACAAGAGCCAAAATATGACCGTGAATATATCCCACCTGAATTTAGAGATCATCTGAAGAACAGGTTTGATGCATTAGACACTAAAGACCGAAGACCAGATGACTTGTGGGGTGACATCAAGAACATCATACAGGAAGAAAGCAAAAAGTCATTACGAAGACAAGAAAGAAGGAAAAGATCACAATGGATGTCAGAAGAAACACTGAAACTTGCTCACCAGTATAGAGATGCTAACGTAAATGGAAGAAACGAGGCAGTACAAACAAAGAATTTCAAAGGTTAGCTCCAGAAGACAAGGTCAAATATTGCAATTAAATATACAAAGATCTGGAGTTAGAAAACCAAAAGAGAAGAACACACTCAGCATTCTCAAGCTGAGAGAACAAAGAAAAAATTGAAGCATCGACTTTCATTATATAAGGATTCTTTAGACAAATTATTGAATGATACAGAAAGCACCAAAAGAAGATGAAATACAAAGTCATTGTACTAAAATGAAATGGTCAATGTTCAACCATTACAAGAGGTAGCATATGATCAAGGGCCAGCGATCCTGATGGAAGAAATCCAAGGAGCATTGAAGGAATTGGCAAAGAACAAGGCACTGGGAATTGATAGAATACAAATTGAAATCTTTCAACAAAGTGACCCAGCACTGGAGGCACTCACTCATCTACGCCAAGAAATTTGGAACACAACTGTCTGGCCAACTGATTGGAAGAGATCCGTGTTTGGGCCATTCAAAAGAAAGGTGACCCAGTGGAATGCGGAAATCATCTGACAATATCTTTGATATCCCATTCGAATAAAGTTTTACTCAAGGTAATACAGAAATGTCTGCAAGCGTACATTGACAGAAGACTTCCAGAGATTTAAGCCTGATTCAGAAGAGGATGTGGAACAAAGGATATCATTGCTGATATCTGGTGGATCTTGGCTGTAAGCAGAAAGTATCAGAAAGATGTTTACCTGTGCTTTTTTGACTATACAAAGGCTTTCAATTGTGTGGATCATGACAAGCTATGGACAACAGTGTGGAATATGAGTATTTCTGAACACTTAAGTGTGCTTATGAGGAACCTCTACATGAACCAAAAGGCATTTGTTCAAAGAGAACATGGGAACACTGAATGGATTGAAATTAGGAAATATGTATGACAGGTTTGTATTCTTTCATCATACTCATTCAACCTGTATGCTGAGCAAATAATCTGAGAAGCTGAGTTATATGAATAAAAATGTGGCATCAGGATTGGAGGAAGAGTCATTAACAACCTGTGATATGCAGATAATACAACCTTGCTTGCTGAAAGTGAAGAGCACTTAAGATAATTACTGATGAATATCAAAGACTATATAGCCTTCTGTATGGATTACATCTCAGTGTAAAGAAAACAAAAAACCTCATCACTGGACCAGCAATAGGCAAAGCTGTTGCACACAACCTGTTTAAAGTGTTGAAAAGCAATGATGTCAGCTTGAGGACTAAGGTACACCTGTGCCAAGCCATGGTATTTTCTTTCTCCCACGGAACAGCTGGTAGTTTTGAACTGCTGTCCTTGCAGCTCACAGCCCGATTCGTAACCACTACGCTACCAGAGCTCTC